ACGATCTATGATCGACTAATCCTGAAAACTTGGGGGAGGCTGTCCTCTGCCCTGATTTGCGCTGGGATTAGAGATCCACTTCCCAAATTCCTCACGGAAGACCTTCGGACTTTGGTCAGGAATGGAGAGACTTGCTACAAGGCAATGAGCTAAACCGACGAGCTTTAACAACTGCTCCACTTCTCTCACAATAGAGACGACTCGTCGACTTGAAATCATTAAACAAAGCGACCACGGCAACTTACAGAACGTAGCGTTGAACATGTCTGATTGTACGTACATGCAGGTCAACCCTCGAGACAAATACAAAGAACCTCCGAGTATACGCCGCTACCATCATCATCCAGCTGGATTGAGTATAGATATTCATTTGAAGATCGGAGATATATTTTACATTCCCATGAGAATCAGAAGCCAAACAAGAACCAAAATATGATAGGAAAATAGTGAACCCAGCAGATAATCGCGTCTATCTAGCCAGTCAATAGCCTTTCATGACTGGATATGGGACATCGCGCTTGCAATTGTCCTACATTATGTTACGGGCACTTAAGCCTGGACTCGAGATGGCTCATCTCATTGACCAGTTTGCGGGGCCAGTAAAAAGCGACTTGTACCAGATCGTCGGTTAATTGCCTTGTCCGATTTCATGAAAAGTGACAAAATCGGCCGGCCAATAAACAAGCAGGCTGTTTCAAGCCACAAAACTCCACCGACAAGAAGGCATATTAAGAATGAAATTTGGACGAGAAAGACGCCGGTTCGCCGGCCGGGAAGATGGTGAAGGCGAAGACACGATCTCGGTCGCCTGGTTCGATGGCAGAAATGCCTCAACCGAATATGTTCATTAATCGTCCGGTCTTCGGATCTCATGCAGTTCTGGAATGCTGGCACTTGGCGAGTGGCATGCATTATAATGTCGCGGGGCTACTTCCGGGGAAGGAACCTCTCTACTTTTGCTTTTGCTCGCGGATGTATTTGACCAACGGCCCGCTATCGTCCCTTTCACACCAGCTTCTGCCAAGTCGGCCAAGAACACGATTCGGCTTCGCTCTCGTGCCGGCTAAAGTCAAGATTTGACACAAACAGCTTGAGGAGGCCGAGACACGGTTTTTGATCTGCCTGTCCAGGCAATCTTGGCACTGTGCAGTGTTGTTTTTGGTTCACACAGCATTCCTTTTCTACCGGTATATGGATAGTTGCATCTTGCATGCCTCCGAGACCTGAGTTTTTAATCTCAATGCATTTGTTGATAAGGTACACAGCAGGCTAGCGGTACCCAAGGAAACGTTCTGGGTCGGTCTTGGGGCTGTGATTGGAAGAACCGGCTTTTCATTTGATTGCGGGGTGGCAATTTTCTCATCGAATAGACTGACTGCCTCTTTCGAAAGTTCCCATTCAGCGTAAATTCCCCCGATTATCAACGCGTCCTGCAATCCCCTGTCAAAAGCCTGCCTGCTTCAAAGATGTTACAGCTAACGCGGAAGTTCTAGCGACCTTCCGGCCAGCGCTATTCCTCTTATTGCTTCTTCTCCGTTTCTTCAGTGTTTAGTGATTCAATCCTCATATTATGACAGCAGGTCACATGAAGCTTATGTAGCTTTTAGTTGATGGCTTCACGCTCTCATAAACGTTAAATGCTGCGGAAAAGATGTGCCGTTTCCAATCAGCCATGCTATTTGTCCTTCACGATATCAATTTCAGCTTCAAGGTAACCCTGATCGTTGCCTGCTTAGTAGATGCTCTGGGCATATGTACGGCATCACGCACACGATTCTTTAAAGACCATGGTAAGCTGAGTGGCAGATGGTCTCCAAAGACCGTCCTGAGGTGGAGTATATGAAGAACGAAAAGGGTCTCCAATAATTCATTATACCCATACTCAATTTGAATCCTACTTTCTATTCCCCTCAAACCATCAATCACCCCTCTTCACTAATATCTCCTCCTCAACTTGATTACCATGTGCTGGGTCCACCAGTACCTATATTACAAGTGCGGTTGTCTAACCGCACCAAAGCTCGTCGAATGTCAGGATCCCAATTGTCAAAATAGGGTCTTGAATCTTCGCCCTGAGCACGGTGGCGCTTTACCATGGCAAGAAGCGCATGAGCAGGACAACTGCCCTCGGCACAGACCTAAACCACCAGCGCCATTACACGGACCCAGCGCGGAAGAGAATGAAAATATACATTCTCTCAACCACCCTGAGTATGTATTTTTGCGGTCCGAACGAAGCTTCGTTCACATGCTGACACTCACTTGCAGAAGACACCGCCATGGGGGCTGACGGGAAGAAACGCGGTCATTAAAGTGGCGAGGCTACTTCTTGCCTTTGTTTCGATGTGGTCAAAACCTTCCTCGATGCTTTGCTTGCGTTGTACATTTCTACTCTTCCATCGAATCCCAATCAAAAAAGTTGTCGATTCAATGCACCTTCATTACCTGCACAGCCACGACACAGCGACCAAGCTGGAAGGGCCCGTATATTTTTATTCCGTGACTGGAACATGCTCTGGAAGCAGTGCGACGGTACATTCAACGTTGTATGACAACGCTGGCGTGGAGTTAATATCTAGTATTGCCGATTACCTCGAACAAATTCCATCTTTTCTTTCCTTCTAAAGACAGCAGGGTTTTTGCTGGACATATTGCGAAGCTTGTTATATAGCGAACGTTATGGTAGCGGTTAATGTAATGGTTGACCAGTTTTACGCTGGGGGTGGGAAGAGTTGCATATCTACTGGCCCCGTCTGGGCTTCTTGCTCTGTTTCTCTTCTCACAATATATTGCTTTAAAGGATGTCCATAGCGGAAATACATAATAATAGTCTGTTCTCAACATCCTGTTCTGCATCTGCATCCATCCGCCCCTCACATCCACATCTCCCTACATGGCACTCCAAATCGAGAAACCCACCTAAAAATTACTATAACAATTGTAGATAGATGCCTTACTCAGCGCAGCGCGTCCCACGATCTCTTCCCTTCCCTTCTTCCCTCCCCATATGCAAACCAATACGTCCAAGAGCTTTTACAAAAACCCGCATTCCATTCCGTTCCATTCCTACCCCACCCCCGCCCCCGCCCACTTCTTCAGAAGCAATGAGAAGCACCGCACCTGCAGGCCCGGCTCGCCCACAGGAATGCCAGGAATGCCACTTCACTTCACCTATACTCCATACCTTTCCAATAGTCCAGTCTGATACCATGTCTACCGGAACGATTTTCCGGATCCCCTCGCCAATGCATATGTTGCCTAGATTCCCATTGATACGAGATATGCATACCGTACTCGTACTCTGTGGATACCAAACCGTCGTATCGCATCGTATTTTACTTGTACAGTACAGTATGGATGGTATGGAGTTGAGAATCGATCGATCGATCGAGAATGGCACGGGGATCGGATCTTGACCCGAGTGCGTGGCCAGTAGGAAAGGGGCCAGTTCGATCGGCTCGGTTCGGTTCGGTTCGTGGGCTCCCCGACTGAAGAAAAGTACACACACGTGACTTCATCCCGTCTACTTTATTGTCGGACAATGCTGGTCACAGAGAGGACGATGAATAGCATCAAGGCTAGCATAGAGGTGATGGGTATATTCTTATGTGTCTTCTAGGTAGACGAGCTGATTGACACAAAGAGTTTTATCCCATGAACGGCTTAAGGATTCATTGATTGATTCATTGATTGACGCCTATACGGAGTACTGTACTTCACTGTAGATACCTAGGAGCATGGAGTAAGCTGGCTTGGTGAGAAAGAAAGTCTGATGTGATGTGATGCAGTTCCACTGACTAACACGGTGATTTTGTTGCTTTGGTTTCACACCCCTTTTGTAGATAGTGCGTTACTGTATCCGACCTCCCTCTTCTACGCGAAGAGACTAATGTCATTGAATGATGTTGATAGACTTCCAGCATCTCGAAACTTGTGTCGGTACTGGGAGGTAACCATATAGAGTATATCCTTATCCGCATATCTGACGAACGAATCTACATATCAGATTCGGCAGAGATACGGTCCCGTATGGTATCCCGGGAACAAGGATACAAATTCCGGACTTAGAAGCCCGTGCATCGATTTCTTCAATATTCTCGCAGCAAAACATAAATGCAGCTAGCTACACATGAGTCTGCGTCATCCGCGGCTCCAGCGCTCCAGCGCTCCACTTACCCATGCCAATAACGACGCGGATAGATACTGCACAGCCAACACCTGGGGACTACAATGCAGGCTTGAAAAGGCAATCCGGGCTTTTTGCCCTACTTTTTGAGCTTGGTGCAGTAAAGTGGCATATCCCCACTTTGTTGCTTGCTTGCCGCGATTTTGTTGCTCCTTCTTTCCACCGGTACGCCACTGCGGCTTCGGTCAGAATGTCAAGATTGCACCTCAATAAAGAAAAATGTAACATGCTAAATGCTGACACTACACGACTGTTTAGTCATACAGTAGATACACAATTGCTGGGGCGTTATTAGGACGTAGTACTTACTACTTTCGACTTCTCCAACTCCAACTCGCACGGCACGAGACCCAGCAACCAGGTAAAGATCCCGGTCTTCCGGCCGGCTAGATCCCCAATCTCTGTGGAATAAGGTTCCTTGGGTAGCCAATCTTATGCCTCTTTCACATGGGAAATGTATAGATGATGAATATGGCCCAATAGGAGCGTTCCCATGGCCGTTGAGATTCTGCATGTTCGATTATGCGGCTGCATGTTATCGGTTCTCTTCCGCGAGCAACTCGTAAGCGAATATTGAGGGCTAGTGCTCACTTGAGCAGATATTATTGCTTCACGCGATGTAGGGAGTAAGGGATCCATGGAAGCGTTGAGGTGGACAGTTGAGGTGGACATGGTCCAAAGGACGTTCCAGAACATGATGATGAAGAAAGAAAAAGAAAATGCAGACGTCTAACAATAGACACCGACTGCCAAACCTTTGCATAAACCCTAAAACAAGAAAAAAGCGAGATGGGAACGGGATCTCTGATTCCGATTACCCCTCTAAGACAAACTCCTCCTCCAATTCCTCCTCCGTAGCCTCCATGCCCTGACTACTCATCAACTTCGCCCCCTTCTCCTCACTCCCCGCCTCCACCAGCAGGTTCTCCTGCACCTCACAATCAACCAGCGTACAGTCCTCTCCTAGCTCCGCCCTCTTCCCCACCACACACCCCGTCAGCTTACACCCATTCCCTACCACCACGCCATCCATCAGCACGCAGCGCGTTAGCTTCGCGCCGGCTTTGATCTGGCAGCCTGCGCCGACGACGCATTCTTTCAGCGAGCAGCGCTCTTCAACCGTCACGTTCTCGGCCAGGAGGCAGTCGGGGCGCGTTACGGTGGTGCGCGAGGCGATGCCGGCTGGGTAAGCGATTTTGCGGGGGTGCGTAAGTGGGGATGTGCCGCCTGTCTCGGTGGGTTCTAGTTTTGCGAGTTGCAGAGATACGGATAACAGTAATGGTGCGGTATCGACGCGGCGGATCAGGGCTGTAGGGGTAGGGTGTTGGTATGTGAGGATAGGCGGTATGATGAGTTTTGGTTTTACGTCCGCTGGCTTTTGTACACTCGTTGTCCAGGTACTGCTTAAGGTGCTGAAAGCACTCTCGTCTTGTGTCGATGGGGAGTCGAGGAGATTGTCGTCGTGGGATGCTGGGCTGGAAGAGCTGTTGAAAACTTCAGCTAGTCCGAGTTTCTCGCCGAGACCGTCTTGCCAGCCTGCCTTTGCCCACCATCCGATTACATCTTCGCCGATACTGTCCATGTGGTTGTTGCTATTGATCATGTCCATTACCCAGGCTGGAAAGATGTAGATATGTGCGTCCCGATGCGAGCCTAGCATGCGTACTCGTGAATGTGCTTCTAAAAGACTGTGGCGGATTGAGAGTTTGCCGCCTTTTTCGGTGACATCTTTGAGTGTATCTGTCGGCATCGACATGACGAGATTCGAGAGCTGTGATAATACCGAAGACTTGGGAGCTGGTACTGGTCCGGCTTTGAGTGGTGTCATTGCGATGAAGTCTGTCTCTTCTCCTTTTATAACACTTTCACCCCGCGTATCGTAACAGACGGTCATTCCCCCTCTTCGACCAGCCTTCTCTCCATTTAGAGCCATCTTCGGGTGTCCCAGCCCATTTTGGTTCGGAGTTGAGCCGCCAAGAGATGCTTGTGTGACCATCCAAGCCTCGAGCAAAGCGTCCCCTCCAAGCTCACACACCAAGTCACACGGTAGAATAATGAAGTCTCCTTTGACAACATCTCGTACTTCTGGTAATCGGAAGATTTCTGCCGTTCCGGTGGTGTTGTCTAGGTCTTTCGGCGCTAAGAGATCTGGCTTTGGGAGAGGTAGGCCAGTGAGATGGGGATTGGTATTTAAAGCTATGGTAATAGCTGGCGCAGAAGATGGTGGTGTTATTAAAGTTATATCTATAACAAAGTTAGCAATTGAGGTTTGGAAACTGATGTCCCTGTGACAACGTGACTTGGAACGTGACTTGGAAGAAAAAGCTTGATTGGCAATTTCCAGCTCAAAATGGTTGGTTTATGTAGTATAAACTAAATGGGGAGATAGGTTTGTGTATAAATACTTACTTGTGACGCCCATCCGATAGCAGAACTCGAGCGGGTACCATACCATAGGCCGGTTGGCAATGGGGAGAAGAGCCTTTGGGGTTTCATCTGGATTGGCTGTGAAGGTCGGAAATGATGATCCAGGACCACATAGGATAATCGCCTGAAAAGACATGATTGGTTTTTACCAATTACAAGCTTTCAGGGATTGGGGTGAATCTATAGATGAGTTTTGAAGATTTTAATATTGGTCAGTCAAAATATGAATCTCATTGTCAGTCATAGCCAAGACTAGTCAATCAAGCGAGCCACGGGATCCCGCTCCGCTCCGCCATATGGCCTTGGCATCCGCCACGCCCCCGCCGTCGCGATGGAAACCAGCCCAGCCTCGGAAGTGGAAGTCAACAAGTGATTTAATATCACACTACCCAGCCTCGCCATTTCGCTGTCCCCGCTCCAACTTCTCCATGCGCAACTGCGCACGCAATGATCTCTGAAACCTCACGAATAATACCCCACGATATTAGTATTGCAAGAAGCAGATATTTTTCCCAACGTGGCACAATCTAAATGTCGGGCTCCTATGAGCGCACCTCGCGCAGAACCCAGACCTCCTCATCCTCGCGACGCGGCACCTACTCATACTGGATCCCGCTGGCGCTCACAGTAACAGTTGCAACGGTTGGAATTGCAGCCTGGATATGGAGTGAACGGAGCGACGACGACGAGGAAGATGGCGATTTCCCACCTGGGCCCAATCCCTACGATCGCCCTGATTATGGCAGGAATCTCGACGGTAGCGTGCGTACTGGACCTCCCTCATATGCGGATGTGCGACCCGGAGAAGTTGCGTATGGGACCGTAGGCCAGCCGCGACCTGAAGAGACCCAGAGTTATGTAGCGCGCATGTCAGGTGCGCTGCGGAGGACGCCTAGCCCACAGCAGGTGTTCGACAATGTGAGTAGGAGTGTTGTTGGAGGTGTTGCGGCTGCCGGGGCTGTGGTTGGAAGTGCGCTTTCTTCCATTCGGGAAGAGGATAGGAATGCATATAAGGATCATAGGACTTGGTCAGAAGAAGTAGAATCTCGGGATCCTGGTGCTGGGCCTAGTGCTGTTGATACCCGATCTACGATTATGCCTGGAGATGCGCCTTCAGCACGAGCCAGTGGAAAGAGGAAGACGGTGGCTATCGTTGTGTCTGCAGATACCACTCTGGATGACATGGATGACGAGGATGCCTTCCATGAACACGCAGTAGGAATTCCTATATTCCGTACTCCTACGCTATGCTAACATCCGCAGTCAATCCTCTCCTACCTCCCCCAGAACACCGACTTCTCAAATACTCGCCTCTTCGTCCTAATTTACGCCCCAGATTTGAAAGAACACCCTCTTGATGCGGCAACCCCTCGTGCCCCAGCCTCTCTCAGCTCTTCGTTCTCGAACATTGGACACGAACAAGCACAATCACCGCCTGCAGATTATGAGAAAACAATGTGCGTTACAACTTCTCCCATTTATAGATTTATCACTAACAGAACTAGATCAACCTCTTCCGGCTCACCAGCATTCAACGCAGTTTACTCCCAAGCCCTCTCCCTCGTCGAAAAGGAAACCATGGTCCTACCATTCACAACCCCCACAGGACACGTGCACATTCTACGGCACCTAGCCCCCGAAACTGTATACTTGCAATCATCGCTCGCTGGTCCTGACGGCGAGATCATCACCCATCTGCAATCATGGCTTCGCCAAGATGTGGTGTTGGTCGTAGGTGCAGAGGGTGGACATGGTGGTGGGTTAGCGGACAGCGAGAGTGAAGCGGAGCCGGAGAAGAAAGTTCAAAAGTGGTGGGAGAAGGAGGAGCGGGTTGGCAGGGGAAGGGGTGTAGTTGTTGTGGAGGGACTGAGGGTGGGTGATGATTGGGTGCGGAGGGTGGAGGGGAAGGATTAAAAGGGGTGTTTTTCTGTTTACAATCTACTATGGGGGAATACTTAGGGGTTTCATGATATTGTTCCTTGATTTGCTATTTAACTAAATATATGAGCTATGAAAACCACCGCGACTGGAATATATTCTTTCTTCACCGTCCTTTCCTACAATTGTCAGCCTCATTTTCCTTCTCGCATCCCAACGTTGACTTGTAGAAAGGGGTGGGGTGGGGTATTCCCCAGCTTGCAAAGCCTGATTGGTTCGTTACTGGTTTCTGCACTAACCCCACTTCGTACGTTTACAGTAGACATCCAGACGCTAACCCTGTCTCGTATTTTGGGTCTCTTAACAGTTAACTTCAGATCAACAAGACACTTCTACTTTTTGCCAGATACGTAGGAATGACCGAATTGACGAAACGTCGAAGTGTTTTAGAACTCCCTTGCTGGGAATAGACACGCCCGGTTGTTCACTAGTATTGTGTCCAGGCACATATTGAGTCGATCACATCTTGTAAGTTCTTAGATTCAAGAGCATCACTTCAGCTAATTCTTGGTATAGTAATTCCGGTAATGCCGATATTTCCGGCGGTCCCTTAACCCCATGGTATAACTGCTACTATTTAACTTACTTGTATATATATGTGCGGACTGTTCGTCAACCACGGGTGACTTTCTTGCCAGACACTTGTATCACTTGTTTGGTTGTGTTCACAGATATAAAGTTCATTCTATATCCTCAGTCGCTGTGGGATACGTAGTTTCTGTTCCCTTCCAAGGTGCATTCAAGGCCAGCACTTTATTGCAATATTTCAAAACCCTCATGATGGCTTCGGCAAAGCCTCAACGCATTTTCATGACTGGCGCCAATGGTTACATCGGCTCAGTCATTACTGAATTTGCTATTTCAGAAGGATATACCGTCGTGGGTCTTTCACGTTCCGAGAAAAGCGATACCAAACTCCGCAACCTCGGCGCCATTCCCGTTCGCGGCGACCTACACACATACGACGTTCTGACACGCGAGAGCGCCCAAGCTGATGTCGTGATCCATCTCGCCGATGCACTCGCTGGAAACTGGGGCATGGAATACTCAGAAGTGGTACGCATTCACAATGCAGCTGTCGATGCCATTGCCGAAGGTTTGAAGGGTTCCGGAACGCCATTCATTGAGACGTCTGGCTCGCTCGTCACAGCACCCGATCCAAACGGCGGAGAAACGACCGAGTCTTCGCCGCTGGTTGAAAACCCTGTGAACAATCGCATCGACAGTGAGAAGTATTCTCTTGCGCAGTGCGAGAAGGGCATCAAGGTTTCTGCCTTGCGCTTGGCGCCATATGTGTATGGCCGTGGCGGCAGCGGCGTGGGCCTCTTTATGGGCACGGCTGCGAAGAATGGCGAAGTCACATATGTTGGCGACGGCTCTACATGCACTACTACAGTGCACGTTGACGATGCTGCTAGATTATACCTTCTAGCTATCAAGAACGCAAAGGCTGGTGAAACATACAACGCAACGTATGAGACGGATGTGACCTCCCGCGCCCTGTCCGAGGCTATGGGTGAGGCCCTTGGAGTTCCTGTACGCTCGATATCCTTTGGAGACATGGTATCAAAAGTAGGGGAGTTTTTTGCCAAGTTTTTGAGCGCTGAGAATCGAGCTTCGAATGCCAAAGCTGTCCAGGAGTTGGGGTGGCGACCGCGTGAGAAGAAAATTTTGGATGATATAAAGTCGGGATCGTATGTGATACTTGCTAAGAGTTTGCGAAAGCCTACAGCTTGAGCAAATTTTGAGATGACTAGGGAATCAGTACGAGCGTGGTTGTTGATGTTCTCACCCACGTATCCGTGCACTTGATAGGGGGCCTTAGCGCAACACTAGCGTATCTCTATCCAGACCCACAGATATCCATCCATTCTAGTGCTACTTTTAGAGAAGTCATCCTTTTTTCCATCCCATTCGTACCAAAACTTTCCCCGGGAAGTGCACATGATACGAATCTTTACTGCTGCCTTTTCTAATTTGTATCACAATATATCTAGTATTTATAGCGAAGTGTCTCTGGACTCTAAATTTGCGAAGTAACTTCGCATGCTGTCATGATCCTCCACGTCCACTACCATCCCAATGTAGCCATCTGGCCTCACAATGACGCTACAGCCTTTCTCCCTGTCAATCGCCAGCCTCTCATACACCCTTCCATGTCCTTCATGAGCGCTTTCTACATCTGCATAGACGCGCCAGTAATCCCACCCCAAATTCTCGTTCCACGGCCGGTATACCTCATGAAGCTCCATCAACTCCACGTTATTTCTTGCGGCACAATGCACAACCAGTACCTCTACCCTTGCCTGGGAGTCGCCAACGGTAAATCTACCAAGACCAGATTCATGATCACTAAGCCAGGACCCAAGAGACTGGAGCCGAGCCAGATGAGCACCCTTTGCTATGTCACCCGCAAAAATGAGGATCCTAAAAGCCCCATTTGCATGGAGCCTTGGATGAATGCGTGTTGTGACACCATCTGCCTGGCAAACGACCTGAAAGTCTGGCAGACGCTTACCTGGAACTATGTCTGCCTTCAACAAGCTTGGCACTATGTGCTCTGCGGATCCTTGAACCTGGACTATGGGTGACACTGAGTAACGGATAGACAGGCCCGTCGTGAATTTCATGGCACGTAAGAATTCGCTGTCAAAGCTTGCCGAAGGTGCGGAAAAAAGCTTCAGATATCCACGATCGAAAGAGATGAGATCTTGTGCCACAGGCCGTCGTTCGCTTTCGTATGTTGAGAGAATCGAAGGTGACAGAAAGTTATCAAGTACAAGACGAAGTTTCCAACCAAGGTTGAACGCATCTTGGATACTGGTATTCATGCCCTGGCCCGCTTTTGGAGAGTGGGTGTCTATGTCAGGTCAGTTCGTCCGGGATTTTCGCCAAAGAGTCCCGGCAAACACTTACGGACAGCATCGCCAACGAGAAATACACGATTCTTAGCACCGAACCGTTCACCGACGCGTTGTCCAACACGATAGGCTGACCACCATGAACAAGATCCTACCTCGAGCGTGTAAGGAGAAATAATCTTGCGAGCTGCATCCATGATTCGCTCAAAGGTCAAGTTTTTCGGGCTGCTAAGAACGCTACCGCTCTCAACGGGAATGTACAGACGAATCTCTCTATTCGGGCGAGGTACGAGGAGGATAGTCCCAGTGGATGCTCGTAGGTAGCACACTTTTCGGATGTCTGGGAAGTTTGATTTGGGAACTATGTCTGCCACACCTATTAAGCATCAGTACCAGAAGCTTTTATCTTCAGTGGAAACTAACCAAACATAGAGTCTGTCAAGTCACCCTCTAACTTTATACCTAACTGGTTACGAGTCCAGCTATGAGCTCCATCGCAGCCCACCACGTATTTTGCATAGATTTCTTCGGTGAGAATCTGTGGAGTTGAGTCCTGAGAAAGTCAGAAAAAGCAGACATTCTAGATTTTTTGCGTTTCTCACATTAGTTCGGTTTCCATTTTCCCTTATTTCATCCGGTGTTGTTGTCACGGACACCGTCACGGGATATCCTTTCTGGTCGCCGAGCCTAGTTTCGTCAATTTTGAGGCTAATAGGTATTCTTTGAACGTCCACTTTGATATTAGGACTTGATGAGAGATTTTCGAACATGTGATGTTCGACTCGTGCTGGTCGGAGTCGAAGTAAGCATGATATGACCAGTAGTTGGATATAATCAGAAAATCAAGCCATACGTAATAGAAATTGAAGAAGTGTACCTACATTGCTGAAGCATGATTTCTCTCGCCTTCCCGAGCTCGAGCACTCTATCTTGCATAACCTGCTCTCTTTTGATCTCAGTTTCAATTATGACACCATCCTCTGTCTTTCCCGTCCCCCATATTGCGATCTCTTCCAGTCTCCACGCTTCCGCCCATATCTTGTGTCCAATGCCAAGTGACTCAAAGATTTCAACAGTCGTGCTTTTTAATCCCTCTGCTTGCCCTCGTGGTGTCAGGCCAGGTTTCTTTTCGAGTAGCCGTACGCGGATGTTAGAGGAGCGAAACCAATTGGCAAGGGCCAGTCTAGAAATATCAGCAGTCAGCATTGTAGTTCCGTAGATACGGATCCAAGACAGTGGTTGTATGGTGGATGGTGCAAACTCACCCGGAAGGACCAGCACCAATGATCAGAACATCCACATAAGAAGAGTTCGATGAAGACATTGGAAAGAGAGGGATAGTAAAGAGCAGGTTGAGTAACGTTCCCTCCTGCGCTATAACCGAAAAAATATATTTCAAGGGGAATACCACAAGTTCATACCACTATCGTTTATTGACGATACCCTGGTAATTTGATGCCTACAAATTGATCTTTTATATCTTGCCGCAAGGTAAAAATAATCTGCAAGACATACGGGGTTTAAAAGCTGCAGTAGCGCTGGCGATCGAAATCTGCAAGTCTGAAACCAGCGTATCCCATATTAATGTGGCTGGCTGAATTCAAAGTCAAGATCTTAATTGCGACGACACCGCCTAACCAGTTTTCATTCCTCAATGGCGTAGTGCCAGGTTTTAGAGCGCTCATTACTCCGTTGGTATAGGATTAATCACAACTCACAGACTTTACATATATCTCTCCGTACTAAAGTAGCTCCCGTGTTAAGCGAGTTCCCCCCTTTACCGCCCGCTTAACATCACGGCACTACTATATAAGATATATTTCAACATATTCCATTTTTGTCTATCTAGGAAATGCGTTCATGTTGAATCGCTCAAACTTGTCGGAGTCTCAGATAGAACCTGAAATGCATGTCTCCTTGATAACGCTCAAGTCGGTAGAAAAGACTCTTTATCCTGAGTAGGCTGCAGATAATAGATGCCTATTCATTCTCAGTTAGCATTTCCACAAAGTACCATGCATGGCATTACTTACTGTAATCGACTTCCGTGCTTTTCCATAGCCCGGCAATATGTAAGTCTTGCTTAGCACCAATACTGCTGACCTCGTCTGTTGACCATTTAGCACTTCCCACCATGTAGACCCTTTCTCCACGCTTTATAGAGATCTCAACATCCCCAATAGTGCATGTGACCGATTTTGCAGCACACAAGTGATTCTCGTACCTGAGATTCTCGGGATTCCATCTCCCCTCAAATCTCCAGTTATCGTCATCGAGAAGTTCGTCTGCCTCGGGGCCCAAACATTTCCTAGCTGCTTCTAGCCCATACTTGACCCATCGCCTTGACTGTCCCCCTGGAGTGTCGTAGGCGCACTCGATCATTGTTACATCTTTACATCCATCTATCCCAAGAATGAAGCCGGACAGGTTGCGAACCTGTTGCGGACGTATGAATGATCCAAGCAGCTCCCCAGCCTCCGTCGGCTCACAATTTGCAAGACTGCTTCCAAGCCAGAGCAAGGTCTTGCGCTTGCTTCTTACTTCTTCGGCAGTTGATAGCCATCTGGCACCATCCTCGTACGTCCCAAGCAACCCATGGACTGTGATATTCTGAAAATTGGCTTGAGCTTTCAAGCCCAAAACCGAAGACTCAAGCTCGACTTGATCTACGTCCAAGGCATAGTAAGTCAATGGTATTCCTAAATTGTCGAGGGCAGACAGCAGGAGAGCAGTCTTCTGCATATTGCCTGCACCAAGCTCCACAATCATTTCTGTGCCGGTGGAAGCAATCTTTTTGGCGATGTCGTAGTTTCGCTGCAGCAAGAGCTCGTTTTCAACACGGTATGGATAGTAATGCGTGGTTGCCAAGATATTCGCATATAGATTCTGTCCTTTGTTGTCCCAAAGTAGCAACGATGGTAAGAATTTCGCACCAGAAGGTCGATAAAGTCCATCGAGGCATTTGGCATGCAAGTCTTGAGTAGAGGACCCTTTGGCCCGGATGTCAAAAATGGACGGATCTGAGACTAGTAAAGTCTTTTGAATCAATGGAAAGAGGGATCCAGTCCGTTTGGCCAATGATGATGGGTGAAGGGACTGGAATCGAGAAATGGTGACATTGAGGAGAGTGGACAGAATTCCCGCCATGTTGATAGTGGAATGATGATGCCAACATAACTGACGATTGTGTTGCACCTTTGGTATACCATATACATGAAGCTTATTAGAATGTGGGAACCAAGCAGTGGAAGTAAAGAGGGCATAGATTGATCGAAGAGAGAAGGGGAGAGTGAGAGAGAAAGCTCTGCTTATATCTCTCCCTATCCGCTTAGCTCCTGCAAGGCAAGAGCTACTCCTCACCGCCCGCAGTAGCAAGCGGCACTACTATATACTAAATATAATTTAGCAAAGCTTTTGATTCTTTGACTGCAGTCTTAGCACTTCCTGGTCATATCTACATCTCCTGCAAGTTGTCAATACTGCGTTCAGTCTCGTCACTTGTTAAGCTGATCATATGCAACTACCCCCGCCTTATCTTAGTTGATGATTCCCGTAATCGAAAAATTTACTTCAGTGGCCGATCTGAATGTATACATGGGGTGCATAAGCTTCAATGGCTTTTAAGTGTCTTGTCGGAATTTTATAGTTGACCCCTATGTCTTAGCCGCATCACCGATCCGATGCACGACACATACAGGTACATGTATGGTACTGGGAATGCCAAGTCGAGATGGACCATTTTAGTGTGCATTCCACCACCTCTTGTTTCATATCCCCTTGCAGATCATACATCATTCTACGGACAAAGCCGTAACTATTATGCTAAACACGGCTTGGGGACTTCAAAATTCCATCCTTACTTGATGAAATGTAAAAGTCTCTTCTCACATCTTCAACAGATCTTGGTTAGGATGGGCAAAAGTAGGGCGGAGTTACCTCCATACTTTGTATGCCACCAGTAGGTATTCAATATATTAGTAGGGTACCTTAGGGGCCGAAACGTCTAAGACAATTAAGCGACCCCATTGAGATAGGCGAAGGACTTTATTCTAACAACAAACATCTTTCTGTCTTGAATACTGGGCATGGAGAATACTGCATCTGCACTGTTCCTATCATGCCGGAAGACTCCCCAGTAGATGAGCAAGCAAGTCTACTAGGAAGCGGTGAAGAATCGAATCCTGGTCATGGTACCTTTCATGGCGCTCGCGATGAGGAACATCGACAGGAGCCAGCAACCTGTTCGACGCCTAATGACAGTCCCGAGTACCAGGTCAAATGGATTGGGGTTCTCATCCTCTTGCTAAGTTAGCTATACCAACGCTGCATTTTACTGACACTAATCTATAAATAGGCGTTTTTTTAGTGAATGCGGATAGTTCCATCGTACTTGCCTTGTTTCGAAATATCGCATCCGAATTCAATTCCCTCGGCTCCGCAAGTTGGATTATCAACAATTATATTCTCGGCTCTATTGCTTCCCAGCCATTGGTAAGATAACATCTTCACAGCCTTTTCTGACGAGTGGCTTTGCGGGGTTTACGCTAATCATGCATGTAGTATGGAAAGTTGAGCGACATATACGGACAAAAGCCGATTCTGCTATTTGCTTTCTGTTGCTGTATTGTAGGCGGGGTGCTCGCGTGAGTAACACTGCGGGCGCCTTTTGATCTTGAAAGATATGCGATCTAACGAATGGCAGTGGTTCTGGTTTCTCACTCGGTGGGGTTTTGGCAGGCAGGGTATTGCAGGGCATTGGCAGCGCTGGTATAACCGTCCTAATCTCAACATTGATTGTTGGTAAGCTATGCCCACGCCCTTTGCGAGAATTGTTGAGCATTCGTAATAGTTTTCTTAGACCTTGCGCCCAAAAAAGATATTGCTGTCTGGAGAAGCTTTGTCTACGCAGTCAACCATACCGCTCGAGCTCTTGGACCGTCACTCGGCGGTACTATCTCGGATACCATCAACTGGCGATGGTAATAGTCCCTCACTGAGTGCTATCTTTCCTGCCTAACCATTTGCAGGGCTTTGCTTTATTCTTCCCCTTTGAATTTCGTCAGTTTTGTCTACATCTGGCGCAAAATGTCATTTCCCCTGCCAGATCGGCATAACGACACCCAAGCTGCCTCGGAAGTAACTTCAGATTCAAAGCTTGGAAGAATTGATTTCTTTGGTGCTATAAGCCTTGGGCTTGCGAATTGCTCCTTGTTACTTTTTCTTGACCAAGCTCAGAAAGGGCTAAGTATCCACAACTGGCGTGCACTTGTCCTTGCTGGAATTTGGATGGTTTTTATGATAAGTTTTATCGTTATAGAGGCTGCATGGGCTCGAGAGCCCATTATGCCCTTGGAATTATTAAGAAGACGTGATGTCTTTTCTTCATACGCCATCCAGTTCCTCCAGACTTCTGCACAAATGGCGGTATTTACCTCCCTCATCTTATACTAGTCTCGAATCTCTGACGTTATTCCCTTAGTTTTATACTTCTATTCCTTTGTACTTCCGCATCACTCGCGGTGACTCGGCTACCCTAATTTCATTGCGTCTTCTTATCATTACACTGGGCACTATCTTAGGCGGAATAGCTAGTGGCTTCATCATTAGGACGCAAGTTACTCTAATATTTGTGTTTACTGCAGCTAATTTTCAATAGAACCGGGCTGTATCGACTCCCGATTTGGGTTTCTCTCGTTATATCAAACGCAGGTTTCCTGGCGATCTTTCTAAGATGGCATGGTGCCACCAGCTGGCTTGAAAGCTTCTACGGATTACCAGTTGGATTAGGATTTGGGGTGTCGTTATCGGCAGCTTTTATAGGCCTGACTGCGAGATTGAAGTCTTCTGAAGTTGCCGTGTCTACTGGTGGTTTCTATTTGAGTGTGAACCTTGGAAGCCTCTTTGGAGTAGGCATTGCATCCATGTTAATTGAAACATTCGTGGAGAGGACTCTGCTTAAGGGTCTGGAAGGGTTTCCTGACAAGGAAAAGGTAAATTTCAAACACAACAGCTTAGCGAATCAACAATTCTAGCAATTAACATCTACTAGATTCTACATGACATCTTGTCAGACTTGGATAGCATTGATCGTCTTTCAGGAAGAGTAAAAGATCTAGTGCTCCAAGCCTACACAAATAGTTTCACGAATGTGTGGCGTAAGTAGTTCCATAACAATATGCTGGAATACTACTAATGCTATCTAGTGTATGCTTTTATTTGCGGATGTCTGGCGCTTGTTGCAAGCTTCGTGATGAGTCAGGAGGAAGCCGAGGATACAGGGGTAAACGGGCTGAGTTAAAAGCTGCAAAGCCTTTGGCAGTACCTATCAAAGCTCTTGAAGCACTAGGTGATAGTTCTTATGATCTGTTGTGCTACTTTACAAGCCCTATAATGAGCGTGGGTCGCGGTTGACTGATGTTTAATCTTGTAAACTAGTTAGACTGTTTTCTGCAATTGAAAAGCCATGTACTGTAATTATTAAAAGCCAGGACATTGACTAAGAATTGTGTTTTAGTAAAGCTTATATTTACTAATCACAGTTTCCGGCTCTTTGCTGCAGTGTCTCGGCCCAACCTTGTGACATCACAGTACCCCCTGCATAACATTAGCGTGGCATAGTCTGATTGATCTTGTTAGTCTCGACTGAAGTCCTGTCTCGGATCAGTGTTTTTTTTAGGGTTAAGTTTTGCCACCATTTAGTTCCATAAATTGACCTTCATTGCACTTTCGTACGCACCATCAAACTCACTCTCTTTTACCCTTTGCGTTTGTGTAATTCCACAATCCACAAGATGGTTCTTACCCCGGGAACTTCAGCTCCATTCGATGACTTAAAAGCGTATAAACCTTGGGAAGTAGATGGGAAATATGTATGTTTTGCCTTTTTCATCCCTTCCGAGGAATTTTGCTAATATGCCACTAGTTCGGTGATGGCCGCGAAATTGCTCTCCTCGAATACATCTATAGCCATCCGTTATTACATCAGTTGCGTGGCAACCCCACAAATATCCTTGCCGCTATCGATACATTCGCCCAAACTGTCACGGGATTGATCAATATTGGCGAGACTAAAGGAGAGATCATCACTCCTCTGATTCTCCAAAACAAGCCTGCGACTATGCTTGAGCTCGGAGGTTACATTGGTTATTCTGCCATCATGTTGGGCGATGCTTTGAAGCAGGCTGGTGGGAAGAAGTATTACAGTGTTGAGAAAAATCCCTTGTTCGCAGCTGTTGCGGCCAGTCTTGTGGACCTGGCTGGTCTCAATGATACGGTACGGATCATAGTGGGAACTGGGGCAGAAGGCATTCAAAGACTGTTTTATGACGGCAGCTTGCAAGGGAAGGATTCCCAATTGGGGATGATTTTCTTTGATCACCATAAGCCAAGCTATACAGCTGATCTGAAACTATGTGAGCAACTGGGCTTGGTTGGGGCTCAAACTGTATTGGTGGCGGACAACATGATTCTTCCAGGAAATCCGCCTTACGCCGAATGGGTACGGGCAAGTATTGTAGAGAAGAAGCGAATGGTAGCAGATGCACCAGCCGCTGAGATATTGGGAAATCCAAATCTGCAGTACAGAAGTCGATCAGTCATTAGCTTTGAGCCTAGCGGTATGGAGGATGCACTGGAGATCACAGAATGCGTAGGCATCTCAGCTTGAATATTTATTGAGCATAGGCGTCATTATCTTGTCAACATTCAGCCTACATACTTCTTCTGAGACCCTGTCTCTCTATTGTCTCAAGTGAAATGACTTTGGAACCGTCACATTCGTCAAGGGGGACCCGAGGATATATATCAATTGAATAATGGGTCACACTCTCTCAGTCCATTGCCTCAGGTAACTAACTCTCAATTCATTTCAATCTGAAACGTTTCCAACATGAAGATCAATGTGTGGTCAGGTTTGGCATATATCTTGGATATACTGACCTTATCTACCCCTCGAGATAGAGATGGGGCTCAAACTCCCCTCGGTGGCGTTCGAATCGACGATGGTATGCCTGTCGGCGATCTTGCCGGAACACCAACGTTTGGTGCACCAAAAAGAGGCAGTGGATCTTTTGTTTGTGCCTACCCCGAGATGAAAGGATATAAAAGCTGCCATGGACCTGAACAGCGAGATTGCTGGCTTACGTCCACTCAGAACTCCTCGGATAGGTATGATATTGAATCAGACTACGAGTTTGTTGATAGTATTCCAGTTGGAATAACACGGAAGGTAAGCCTCCTATTTCTTACACTTTGTTCAACACAGAGAACATAAATCTTACGTGATCAAAAGTACCAATTGGATATTTCCGACATGCCACTGAATGTAGACGGAGTGACCATGGAGCACGGGAAAGTTTTCAATAGAACCTATCCAGGCCCGTGGATTGGTAAGACCAGTACCCCAGAAAAATCCATAATTTTGAGAGTCGGATTTCTAACTTGGGTCGCAGAAGCTTGTTGGGGCGACTGGATTGGTTAGTGACAACTTCCTAGGAAAAGGGGTTTTCACATGACTGATTTCGTCTTTAGAGGTCAAGATCACCAACAAGCTTGCTTTCAACGGCACTTCAATACATTTCCATGGTATCCGACAGCTCAACACTCCGCATATGGATGGCGTGAATGGCGTCACACAATGTCCCATTGCTCCCGGTGACAGTTTCACTTATAAGTTCCGTGCAATGCAGTACGGGAGCAGCTGGTATCACAGCCATTACTCGCTACAATATGGAGATGGAATGCTTGGACCTTTGACTATTTATGGTCCTGCGACTGCTAACTACGGCTCCAATGAAGCTTTCAAACCTCTATTAATGACTGATTGGAACCACAGATCAGTTTTCGAGGCAAGTTTACGTTCTCTGCTCTATTTTCCACCATGTCTAAGATTTAATATAATCTAGGAATGGCCAATTATGCTGGAATCTGGGTCGGCTCCACAGATGACGAATATTCTTCTTAATGGTCACGGTATGTTATATGTCAGGAAACGAGCAGAATTTCTCGTCAAGATCATACTAAGTTACTTTCATAGGACAATATGGCCCAGCAGGAGGTGAGCGGCATAAATACCAAGTTACTGTTGATGCGGTATGACCTTTCAGCTAAGATGATCTATGAAATTTGTTCTGACTCTTCTAAATTAGGGTGAAAGACATATGTTGATTCTGATTAATACCGCCGTCGACACGACCTTTGTTTTCTCAATAGATGACCATGAGCTTGAGATTATTGAAATGGATTTTGTTCCAATCCGTCCCTATAAAAGGACCAGCATTCTAGTCGGCATCGGTGCGTAGTTATACCCCATAGCTAGTTCCCCCGAGTTATTCACACGTTCTAGGTCAGCGATATCATGTCATCGTCACGGCCAAGCCCCTCAAGCACGTCAAAAACGACAACTACTGGATTCGAACCATACCAGCAAGACAGTGCTCGAAATTCTCTTGTGGACCAGATGAAAAGATGGGAATCTTGCGATACAATACCACTACCGACCCAGCCGCCAAAACAGCTGATCCCTTGAGCGCGCCGTTTCTCTTTGACATTGCGTGTGCCGATGAGCCTTACGACAATCTCATCCCTTATCAACCTTGGACAGTGGGAGAACCCGCTAATATCAGTATGTCTTGGTTTACACTTGCGAGTATGGTGCTAATCGGCCTCCTAGACACTTCTTCTACAACGAAGCCTCCCCCAGATCAAGCCCACAACTTTGAGATCAAATTGATCGAATCATCGGGTGTACCTTACATACCCGAAAAAGCATTAGTGAGGAAAATGATACGCCCCTTCAATAATTCGTACTGAATAATTATCCTAGCTGCGATGGACCATGCATCAAGCACCTTTTCGTATCAATTACAGCGATCCAACCATTCTAGACCTCAAGCGAGAAAAATGGGAGAAGACTCTTAACGTAGTCACATTGGACGACAAAACCGAAGATCAATGGATCTGGCTCGTGATCACTGCACCGGGTGAGGTTCCTTCGGATGGTGAGGGCCTGTTTATTCCCGCTGCTCACCCTATGCACCTTCACGGCCACGACTTTGCCCTATTGAAACAGTCGAGCGATCCGTGGAATGCCACTGAGGTCGAACTAAACTGCAACGGCAAGGGCATCAAATGTGATAATCCACCCCGTCGGGACGTAGCCTTGTTGCCGGCCTCTGGATATCTCATCATCGCCTTCAAGGCTGACAACCCAGGTATGTTCTACTGACAATGTAATTATATTTCTGCACTAACAAATCTACCAAAGGTCCATGGCTCATCCATTGTCACATTGCCTTCCATGCCTCCTCCGGTCTTGCTATGCAGGTCATTGAAAATAAGCATCTGATTCCTCCAACCCTTGGGGAAGATAAACAAGTATTGGAAGAATCGTGCCGGAAATGGAATGCGTGGTTGGAAGACCCCTTGAACCATTGGGACTTCCATGATACTTCGCATTTCCAAGATGATTCCGGAGTCTAATTTGTGGCACAATTTCGACCCAAACCATTAATTACTACTCGAGTGATGATCGCTAAAGGGTTGCAGTATCTTATAATTGATAATTTCTAATAAGAAAGTGTATTGTCCAGTAAAACCAAGTCTCAAAAACCGCATAATATAAAATCAGTAGGGTCGTGAAATGCAGTCTTCGGCAATGACAACGAACGCACAAAGATTTGCTAAGCCTCACATATGCCCAACAACGTTGACTGGAAAATATCTCATTCCTATGAAGGATGAACAATTGCCTATGTGGAATTTGGTTCTAGGGATGTCGGAAACAGAAACTGCAACACTGCCATGATGATCAGATACTTTGAAGACACTGGTGTAGCTCTATCAGCTTTGTATAGATTTCTCATGACAGATGCAATATCGTGCCATTGCGAGAATGGAAGTTGGACATTTAAATTTTGAAAGATTCTAATTTTCGAGAGATCAGAAACTTAAGACCAACGGCTCAACCACAACACAGACCACCGTGAGATGGGAAAGTATCATAGTGTCTGGGAGGTATTGAGTACATCGACATGTAAAGACGAAGAAGACGAAGATTGTAGGTGTAGGTATCACAGGAGTGATCACTTATTACTAGCTAGTATATATTTGGTAAGACTTGACTCTGGTTTTGGTGATTTGTATTGTGATGTGATGTCTAAGTGTCGATAGCAGAGCGAAGAGGTGATGCCTCTGCATCGCTTAGTCATCCACGCTAAGATATGTGACTATACACGTGAATTCCGATCCCGACAGTAGGTGTTGGACAATGCTGATCATAGAGAGGACGATAAATGGGATCAGAGCTAGTATAAAGGTTATAGACATATAATTGTGTGTATTTAGTGAAGACGAGCTAATCGAGATGAAGAGTTTTATCCCACAGACGCTTATGTAAGCAGCTAAGTCCAACAGTAGGTGTGTGTAGTGTTAAAAGCTTGGGGATACGTGCCAGAAATCATTCGCTTCCTCCACAATTGACACCGACGACCGACCCCACCAAGTCAACCCCACTACTTTGCAACGACCTCTCCTCTTCCACCTCCAACACAACTACAATGTCGCACGCACGTATAGAAGAAGTCAGTGACAGCGACGAAGACAGCGACCCCGCAGAAGGTGACATCTCAGACCTAGACTCCGACCTCGATGAGCGCGAAGTCCTGCGCCAGCGCGCTCCCCCTCCCGGTCCACGACCATCACAAGTCACCCCTCCCAACCTCGCCTCGAGAATAAACCCAGCGAACATTCCCTCTACAGGAAACTCACAGTTCCAAACAACAGAAGACGACAGCAAGTACAAGGACTACCAATGCATATACCCCGTCTACTTCGATGCGCGGAGAAGCAGGAATGGGGGCAGGATGGTGGGCAAGGCATTAGCGGTACAGAATCCGTTCGCGAGAGACATTGCTGCTGCGTGTGGTCAGTTGGGGCTGGAGCCATTATTTGAGGCTATGAAATTCCACCCGAAGGACTGGTCGAATCCGGGGAGGGTGAAAGTCAAGTTACGGGATGGGAAGAATCCTGGCATGGTCAAGAACAGTACGCTGCTTATCTTCTACATTGTAACGAGGGCTTGCTGATATCTGTTGCAGAACATCACCTATACATTCTTATCTCGAAATACCTCAAAGCCAACCCTACAACCGAAAAGGCTGCACTGGCAATCCGTATCCCGGGCCTGCCTGTTCCAGACCCAAAGAAACCGTACCAACCACCTGATGTTCCGAAAGGATGGAAGATCAACAACATACTGCCGTATTATAGTCCAGCTATGCATGGCGAGGGAGTTAGTGATAATTTCATGAAGGATATGATGGCTGAGATGGCGGCTGCGGGTGGTGGTGGTGGTGGTGGGGGATGCCAGGCATGCCGGATATGAGTGCATTACAAGGGATGATGGGTGGTATGGGAGGTATGGGTGCAGCTGGACCGAGTGGAGGTGCTGCTGGTGGGGGAGAGTCTAAGAAGAAGGACAAGAAGAAGAAGATTAAGGGATGAGGTAAGGTATAACAAATACCTTTGCTCTGGAGTTATGGAGCTGAGCTCAACGGGCTTCGCTCTTGCTTCTAATGCTGCTAGTGTGTTGGACTACACATCTGTTCACAAAGGATAACTAAGGTGTTCATTTCAGGTGCCGTATTAAAACACCAGCCCAGACAATCTCAGAGACTACTGGTCTCCACCAAAGATTTGCAAACAAATAGCAAATCAACTTGCCAGCTATATTGCTTGTTTGTCCCCCATTCAGTGATCCGATATTGACTGTTACACAAGCCATAGCTAACAGTGATTGGCTCCCTCACGGGGTCCCTGCATCGAAGAAACACTTCATATTGCTTTTTCTTTGCTTTTTATGCCAAGAGCCAACTTGACTCACCTGTTGCCTGTTGCCTCGTAGAGCAACATATGGATTCTTGTTCTCTGTTGCCTTTCGCCTTTCGCCTTTCACCCTTCACAAGAAGCTTTCACAAAGGGCAATCCGTTCACAACTTTTGACTTCACGATTCAGGTCGGACCACACTTCTTATTAACTTGATCTCGCCCTTATTTGAGGTTTCATTTTTTTCAAGTAAAAGGAGAAGTAGCCTGTCTTTGCTAGCTTGTGATTTGTGGGTCACTCTTTCCACTGACTTCTTGTGCTTTCGCTAATCACAACTTATTTCAAGGAGACATCACAACTTATTTTGAAGAGACAATACACTTTCAAGCTTCCTCCTCCCCAGACACCGCAGATAGCTCAATAGTGGGAAACAGGTTGCTTTAGGTTCGTCTTTACTCCTTCTATTATTCTCATACCCTAGAATCTGTGATCCAGGAATAACCTCAGCCTTCTTTCTACCTATTCCAGGCTTCAAAACTCCTCTCTACTAGTTGCTATTCACTTACCTCCTCGATCTATCTAATACACGTTGTCTATTCAATTTTCTAGGTATTACTTATTCACTTTTAAAATGGTATAGCTGATTTTGCCTGCTTTTAGGACTATAGTTATTTACATAGAAGAAGTTTTTCAACTTAAACTACCTTTAGTTTAACGCCGCCAAGATCTTCCATCGAGTAAACGCAGCTATGAGGTATCACACGGAGCAGGGCGCTATTATTGTCATAGATGAAGGTGACGAGGGTAAGTCTCTCCTCTCCTCTCTCACTCTTCTCTTCGCTTTCATTTACGTAACTTGGAGTTCGAAGATGAGTGGCAGCGCAGCCTTAACCGTTCACTGCACATTGAACTTTGCCAATTCAACATGCTAACAGTAGAAAATTAGAGCAACCACCCCGTCGCAACTCATCATCGTCGCCTGCTCCCTCAACTGCTTCTTCCCATACCGTAGGACGAACACCATCCCCACCGCCATCAAGAGTTACCACGCCAAAACGACCATTCGATTCGTCATCTGCGCCCTGGCCAGAAGCTGAAGAAACACCCTCTAAGCGCCGCGTGGCGATACCCGACCCTTCAATTATCAACCTCGACGATGATTCCGAAGATGACCTGAACGAGAATGAAGCCATAGAACATGGACTGGATCTTGAAGAGCATCGGGCGAGAATCCGGAATCGAAATCCACCGGGTGCACGACCGCAGGGCCGACGAGCATTGCTTCCTGTCAGGAATGCGGCTGTCCACCACCCTTTTGCGGAGATCGAAGCATACGAGTGGAACAAGACGCCCCTTAGGCCAGAAAAGACGGTTGAACTGCGTGATGGCACCTTTCTACATATAAAGGCCATCATTCACAACCCGTACGAACTTGATCCCAATGGCACGCATATTGTGTTTCTCCGAGGATGGCAGCTAAAGCGCTGCACGGATTTAAAGGGCTTACTTCCAAAGCGTTTGAACGAGCTCTGTTATGTCTATGAAATTGATAAGGATGATCCACGACCCGTCCAAGAGCAAAGCGTTCTTGAGGTCCCGTTAGGCGATGTTGTCAAGGTGCGCTATCTAGTCAAAACAAACCAGCCATTTCCTGAATGCAGATTCGAAAGCCACTTTCCAGAAGACATGCCCACAGATGAGCGTGTACAGTACGTCCGTAACGAAGAGCGCTTGGTAGCACGCTGGAAGTTTACGACGATTTTCAAGAATGCTCAGAAGCGATCCAAATTTGCTAAGGAGGAGAAGTACTCTCATTTCAAAATTAGGAAACTTGAATCTTTAACTGAAGGTGAGTGTACAACGGGTTGCTACGTTCCGGCGAAGGTGGCTAGAGAAGCTTGGCGTGGTGAGACGCTTCCAGGGGGCTCTGGACAGAAGCCTACGGCTGGAAACAACCCAGAGCCCGAACAAGAACTAGATCCAGAACCAGAACCTATGCAGTGTCCAAACTGCCGCGATCTGTTTAACACTGCAGTTAGTTTATTGGAACACCACCAATATTCGCACGAGAAAGGTAAGAAGAAAGCGACGGTTCAGTTGTCGCACGATGCTCAACAATCCAAAGCCATCGAAAAGGTGCGACAGCGGTTACAGTCGATAATTAGCTTGGATGATGAGGCTGAGGAAAGTGAAAATGTTCGGGAATCGGAGCGACAATACACATTTGGAGATGGATGTAAGTCTAGCAAATATTTCTTCACCTTTAAGTATACTAATACACTATAGTCTGCTGTGGAGGTGGAGTCTCGTGCGCTGCAAAGGCTGCTGGATTATTAGTTGAATGGGCGTTTGATTCCGATCCTAAGACGAAGGAGACATATTGCCGAAACAATCCAAACACGCGACATCATAACATGAGCGTCTTTGAATTTGTGGCGCAAGTATTCCAACCTAGAGAATACTTCGTGGACATCTTGCATCTGTCGCCACCTTGCAAGTTTTTCTCGCCCATGAAGACGCACTTCGGTTGCAAGAATGATGTTGCGAATGAAAGTGCTCTGTTTTGCATTCACGAGATATTAAAGAAATGCAAGCCAAGGATTGTTACGTTGGAAGAGACCTTCGGATTGATCCAAAACAAACCAGAGCACTTCAATGCTCTCATTCACCAATTCACATCGAGCGGATACTCGATTAGTTGGGAGGTCATGCTATTCCAAAATAGAGGCCTCCCTCAAAGTCGTAAACGTCTCGTCATTGTGGCTTCTTAGTAAGATCCCTCCCCTTTTCTCATAAAACCTTGAGCTAGCAGCCACTGACTATGGCCCAGCCCTGGTGGTACTTTCCCAGACCTTGGAGAAGACACCCATTGCGAGCACGGGGATCGCTCTCGCGGCCTCAAGCCCTTCACCAGTGTCAATAGCGTCCTCGCCCAGATCCCCCGCAATGCACCAAATCATGACCTTGCCGCCGCTGCAGCTCCCGGTAAATTTAAAGCCTGGAATGGCACAGGCTTGTCACGATGCTTGCTGACGGGCGGTGCTCCGTGTCATCCTAATGGGGAGAGGAGCCTTACCCTAAGAGATCTTGCGACGATCCAAGGGTTCCCGCTCGGTCATGTATTCTACGGAAATAAGGGGACGATACAAGGTATGATAGGAGATGCGGTTCCCCCTGCTATGTTCGAGTCAATTCTTCGTAGGATTGTAAAACAACTAGAGGACGAAGACGGTGTTGTGCACGCTATCTGAGGGTAGATCGAGAGTGTTGAAATCTATGGCGATCTCTCCAGGGATGAGGAGTTGGTGGGCTGCTATTTGAGAGGATGCTTGACTGCTGCATTGGTGGTTATTTTTACATTTTAAAGTGCTGCATTCGTCCAACGCCTTGGGCTCTTTGTCAGCTTTCCACCAAACAATGTATTTTCTTTCTTTGCTTTTCTTCATGCCTCGAGTTTCTATCTGCGCAACCTGGCGTTGAGCTTCTGGTCACAAGCTGGATTGATGATAGAGTGGGCGTACTGCGAGCTCATAGGACTTGACTTGTACCTTATGGAGAGTGGAGAGGAGGTGCATTAGATAGTTCCGAGGATTCAAACCATGTTCTACTACCACCTGAAGTTAATGGAGCCTCCTAAACGCGTAGTACTGCTAACGTATTTGTCAAATCCTCCAATTCCCAAACTGAAGCTTGACATCTTGCCCCTCCCTCCCAACCTGATTCCTCCCACCACCTTCGGCATCACAAACCCCCAGCCCACGTGACCCTCATATAAACCTCTCACTGCAGAGATCAGATTGTACACCCCTACAATGACAAACAGCACAAGCCGCGCCAATCAAGATGCCAAAGGCGCCTACACAAACGCTGCAGCTTTGCGCTCAGACGGGCGGCAGCAGGATAAACATCAAATGCTGCGCTTTGATTGGCCTGACACAGCACATCGCATCGCCCTTGACGGGAGAGAGAAAGAGAAAGAGAAAGAGTGAAATTCAGTAGGGTTTTGCTTTTCCTCTGCGGTTTATCAAAGTGAAGTCTTCTTCTCTGCGCAGCTGCAGCTTCAGGCGAAGTGAAATAAATTGATTGATTAAGGGGATTAATACTTGGGGGGAGAGAGAGATAATAATAATAAATCAAGTGTAGTCTTAGAGAAAGGAGGTCGTTTTACTCGTATGTAGAGAGCTACCGCACTTCGAATTACAGTAGTCCAGGCGCGTCCACCGGTACCCATGCCATGTACCGGCGCGCAACCATCGAAATTTCGAGATAGCCTCGCCTCAAAGCTTCTCCCAACACCACAACCAAAATCCAAATCCAAACCCAAATTCCAAACAAACAAAAACAAAACAAAATGGCAGCAATACCAGGCAGCCTGCCACCACCGACAATACTAGATTTCGTACAGCGATTCAATACCCTCCAAACGCACCGCGATCTTGGCAACCAGCTAATGAAGGTACCCTCTTCCTCCTCGTCTTCCCATCAATCGATGCTCATCATGCGAAGGAAATATTGTTATACAGCGAGCACATAGAGAGTACATTAAGAGAAGAGAATAGCCAGCTGGCCAAGGAGCTCGAGGATGCACAGCTGGACTTGGAGGATGCGAGGCGCTCGAGGAGGGAGATGCAGCAGAAGTTGACTATAGCGACGGCGCGCGCGGCCAGTTTGGTGCGGATTGCGATTCCATGAGGGTAGGACTCCGTTCCCTTGACGAGAGATGGGAGACAGAGAGGAGCATACTGATGAGATGATTGTTGGCAGAATCGGAATCCTTATATTATGATATTGATTGACGGCGATGGGTTGCTTGTGAGTATTCTCCCTCTTCCGAATTCCATGTTAGAATGGAGATGCTGATGCTGATAATCATACTAAAGTTCAACGAAACCCTCATCAGCCAAGGCCTCGAAGGCGGAAAACAAGCAGCGAATGCCCTGCGCAACTCGGTCCTCCAAAATTGCGGCGATCTCGCCGACGAAATTGAAGTTATTGCTAAAGTTTGTGCCAATATGTCTGGGTTAGCGAAAGCAATGAGACGCGATGGCTCTCTGGCCAATCCGGACGATTTAAGAGATTTTACATTAGGTTTTACACAAGGAAAGGCGTCGTTTGACTTCATTGATGTTGGGCATGGGAAGGAGAGGGCCGATTCAAAGATTAAAGGTATGTTGCTCGAAGAATGCTACTCGTACTTTGAGACAGTATACTGATTTGATCGTGTCACAGAATGTATGCGATGGCACCTTCGAAATCACAATTGCAAACAGATTCTCCTGGGTATCTCTCACGACGCAGGATACGCCCCCTTCCTGGACGAAGTCGTAAGCCAAGATGATCGTAATCGCATCACCATTATCGAAGGGTACCCCACAGTCCGTGAGCTTGCAGCCACAGGTATTCAAATCATGAACTTCAATGCCCTCTTCCGCAGCGACAAGCTCGTCGACCGTTTAGTCCCCGTTTCCTCCCCAACACCCCCCTCAACCTGGGCAGGGGTAACATCTATCGCTCCTCCCCCCAGCTCTTCCATATCTCCAGTCATTAAGAACGGCACGCCCTCGACCACATCAACCATAAACAAAAAACCACCCACCGCAAACACAACCACCATTCCAAAAGTGAATTGGTCTCCCGAACCCCGCGGTCTCGACCCCCCGATCACAGTCAATGCCGTAGTCCTCGATAAAATCAAGCGCCGCACCAACAACAACAAGCTCTGCAACAACCATTACCTCCGCGGCCCCTGCGCCAAAGGATCAGAATGTTGCTTCGAGCACGATTACAAGGCCACGGATGAGGATTTGAAGGCTATTGCTTATCTCACGAGACTAAATCCTTGTACCAAGGGCCAGGACTGCGAGCTCGAGTTTTGTATTTACGGCCACCACTGTCCATCTGTTGTGATGCTGAATGGCGGCAAGGAAGTCGTGTGTCAGGCGTTTGGGTGTCGGTTTGCTCGTGAGGACCATCCACCCGGAACGGTGATCAAGCATCCGAGGAAAGAAAAGTGGGAAAGGGTTGAGTATTATCAGTGAAGTGCCGCTGAGCAAACTACCGAGTGGAGAGGGTGAGATGTGTTTTAGGGATCCAGGAAAGGGAGGAAAAAGTTAAGAGATTCAAAATGGTTTAATACGTTAGCTGTCATCACTTCCTAGTGGGGGATGAGGGAAATCTTGCTTCTGATTTCCGGGAGGTTTATAATTAGTTTTTTCGGTTGATGGATCTGCTTTTGCTCATCTATTTGTCTATTTTAATTTTTCAAAAGTACACACAAAAATGGGCTGGGCAGGATTTGGGTAATACTTGTGTGTATTTGATTAGGAAGTCCTCTACGCCATACGAGGAAATGTAATGGTAATTTGATAGAACTTTTGCTGGCATGTTCTGGTCCTTTCGTTTAATTCTAGGCCGCCTTCGCTGGGGTATGTATTGCATTTCAAGTTCCACGATGATAATTTAGGTTCCATATCTTCCCCCTTTTTATCTTTGAAACCCTGTTTGAACATGGGGTTTATCAAGCATGAGTACTATCGGATGCATAATCTTGGTTAATATGGCACTCTATCACTCCGAGTATAGCTTTCCCACAACAACAAGCAGATACTGAAATTTAGTCAATGCCCTTTCAACCACATTACTTTGCGATATGATGAAAATTCGTATTTCCGTCAAATGTCCCAATTGAGAGGTACTACTTGGAAGGAATAGTCACTCTCAGACATCATCAAGACATACACGCATCTCTTTAGCATCCATTGACCCCGCTCACAGCTCACAACCTCTCCCCCAATTCTCCCCAATCGGTTCATAACCCCCTCCACAGTCAACGCCAACTCCCCCCTAACCCCCCTCCAAAAATTCGTCCCCGCCAATAGTTCATCGCTCATCAAAACCCACCACTTCACCGCAAACCGCTCGCTGATCTCCCACCCCGCCTCCACCCACGGGCTACTACCCCGCACCTTCAGCTCGCCGGCCATTAGGTCCCGCCACATTTCGACGAGATCGGTATTGAAGGTTGAGGATAATGATGGGGAGTTTTTTCTTGCTCTTGCGGTTGCTTCTGCATGCTTCTTGCTTTTCGCTTCTTGTTGTGTAGAAAAAACAAACAGAGAGATACATATGCCGACGTACAATGCCTTTAGTTCAACTTGCAGGTAATTCTACCATCTGGACTGCTAGTCTCGAGGCAGCGTTTGCAAATGGGAAGTTCTTGTGGTGTGAATGGGATGTTGATGTATTGAAGAAGAGCAAGGAGGAGATTCAGGGTTCTTCAATACTCACTACTGATTTCGAGGGGTGGTCTTCTTTCAAGTATCATGCTTGAGTATTGGACGGGAAGTATTGAATAGAATAGAATGATTAGATTAGATTAGAGGAAAATATAATTGTTTAGGGCTGAAAACAGAATTCAGATGCATAAAGTAGGAGATTTGCGCTAAGACACTTGACATTTTATCGCCGACAAGTTAGTTGACTCGTACGATGGCTATCACGTGAAACGTTAAATGGACAGACAGATGTATTAGAACATCGTGCATCTGGGATTGGCCTTGCATCTATTTTCACAAGAAATAACTCAAGAAGGTCAAATATCAAACTCTACAGTTCCTCTGTCCCGCAAGCTATTTTAGTATACCGACCGACCGACCCCGCTCCCGGTCGCCCGTGGCGTGATACCTTAAATATTTCGAGCGCACGTCGAGACTTTCAAACTTATGTAAAATGACAGGCAATAAGAGGAACATTGCAGTTATTGCAGTAAGTCTCGCTCCCTTTCTACTCGTACATTTTCAACTCCGTACCCACAATACCCTCACGTGATTCCACCCCCTATTCATCTCGGCTACTGACCTCCCTCTCAGACCCCAACATCGCCAATCCTCCCACACCTACTACACGCGCTTTCGCATGAACCTGCCTTTGAAATAATAGTCTTGACACGCAAAACCATCATCGAGATCCCCTTTACTACCAGCGCAGCGCACTCCAGCTCCCATTCTCACAGCCATGAAGAGGAAATCAAAACCCCTCCCACCGCCGCTTCTACAAATGGGCATCGCGATCATGACCACACTTCCACCTCGGTGATAAAACATATCCAAACCAACTTCTCCACTCCTCACCTCACAGCCCAACTGCGAGACACACATACGATAATCTGCCTCTTACACGGCTCGGACGTGCACCTCCAATCTGACCTAATCTCGCTCTGCACCTCCCCCGCGATTGCAAATGCGAGGTTTTTCATCCCCTCGGAATACGGTCTCGATACCAGTAACCCGCAAATCAGATCCCTGCTCCCACCCTACGCAACGCGTTTCGCCGTCCAAGAAAAGCTGCGCTCTAGTTTCACTTGCAGTGGAGAAGGAGGTGGAGGTGGGAGGATATTGAGATACAAAGCCATCTACTGCGGCCTCTGCCTCGAAGAATCCCTCAAGGCTGACGGCGTGCTGGGAATAGACGTCCTCTGGGCATCCCTCTCGTCCTTCCCCGGGACTTCTGGCACCAAACTCGCTATATCGAATTGCGCTGACATTGCGGGGCAGATCGTGGGTGTTGTTTTGGAGGATGATGATGATGGTGAAATGCCAAGTGGGGGTAAAGGGAATGAGATATACAAGTCAGGCTTCCGCGCAACGCTTGATGAGGTTGTGAAAGTGGTAGAGGAAACGCTCGATAAACCTCTCGATAGGTATGAGGCTGATTTTCAGGGGGCGCGGAAAGAGGCGCGGGAGCGGATGAAGATGGGTTTCTTTGATGGGGGGGTGAGCTTGATGGGGAGGGTTGCGGTGTGGGATGGCGGGGTGGGAACTTGGGGGGCGTGGGGGGAGGACGGGAGTGGTAGTGAGGGGTGGGAGGAGAAAGTGAGGAGCGCTGTGAGGGACGTAAGGGGGGATCTAGTTGGGGGGGCTGGATGTGGATGCTGATTTAGCAAGCAAGCGTTGTTGTAAGTTGAAGTCCAGGAATGGAATGTGGAAAGAAAGAAAGAAGGATGAGAATCAATCAAAGAACTACTATATATATTCTCCAAGAAGCATGTTCTTATCGCGTCTTGTTCGCGGGAAAGTCCTCTAGGGATTTGAACTGCCTACTGTACCGCGCGCACCACCATGGCTTTATTCATAATCATGATCTCACCCTGATGGATCAACGAATTTCAAGGCCCTTATATACGCAAGTATAAAGGTATTAATACGGTGAGAATATGTGCTCGGATGTGATCACCATCTAGGAGTATTCCACTCTACTGGCCAGCCGCATTGACACAGCAGGTTTCTTTCTGGTGCTTAGTTAGAGTCGGGAGCTACGCTATGCAGGTACCGTTAACTGTCTATGTTCATTTGATTTGGTTTGATTGATTTGCATATCTAATCGTCGTGTATTTCCTACCTGCCTACCCAATCTTCATACCCGCCCTATATACAATTCCTTATCATTCATTCCGCCAACTCCAATTAAAACATCCCAGTACTCATAGCTTGCAATCATGTCATATCATCTAACCTGCTTATCATGGATTATAACTATTCATAACCCCCCAAAAGCTATCACTCCCGAAATCACCCTCGAACATCCATGGCTGCGCAGCCATGCCCTCAGTTCCTGCCGGTCCTATACTCCCCGCGTCCCACGTGCCTACCACGTCATAGCTACTCGTTTCCATCCCCGAGCCAAGGTCTTTGTATACGAGATCGTGCATTGGTTGTAGCACGGGCATGGAGCTGCAGTCGAAGGACGTGGGGTATTGTTCCCAAGAGGCTGGTATCGAGGTGGGAGGCGATGTGAGGTTGGATATCGTGGGGAGCGTATAGGGTGTTTGAGTTGGGGTCGAGGATACGGATGAGGTAGATGGGTGCGTAGAGAGAGGTGGGTACGTTTGATTCGGCGTTGTTGAAGACGCTATCTCTGACGTTGGACTCGCAGTACTTGATGCCGTCTTGATTGTAACAGGTCCTTGGCCAATGTTTAAAGCCTTATTAAGACGCAAACTTATAGCTTTCACAACTCCCAAGGCGGTCCTCGCCATCGAATTTCTCGAGCTCATCATCTGGAATCGCTCTTTAGCCCACTCGAAATGCTGCAGTGCCTCTTCTAGATCAGAGCGGTTCTCACATGGGTGGAGAATGTATATGGCTGCGATGAGAATGATGGCGTCGAAAGTGTTGAGGACGAGCACGAACCACTTGTAGTGTGTACTATTGAGAAGGTTGAAAAGTGTTCGCTGTGCGCGGAGAACGTCAAGCCCGGCCTTTAGCGCTGCGGTGCGGGACGATGAATTGGTGAAGATGTACGGGCGGTGCAGAGCCATAATTGTAAAGGCCGCGTTGTTTTGGAACACTGGTCGAGCACGTGGGATCCAGTAGCACTCAGGTAGGGCATCGAATGTTAGGTCCGGGTTCTCCGTGCGAAAAAACGGCGGGTAGTGCCGGGAGATTTGATTGATTAGCCTGTGCATCTTTTCGACTTCGGCAAAGTTATTTTGGTGCGGGTCTTCTTTTTCCAGAATGAAAATGTCCCACAGAGGGGCAGTGACTTCCGTGTTCCACAGAAGCATTGTTAGGGGTGTGGGGACGTCGGCTTCGGTCCGTGGAGAAGGGGCTTCTTCTCGACGATTCCGGGGGAAAGGAGCGTCAATTGGCAAGGGAGGCTTGCCATCTCGGGGATCTATAGTTGTTGGTCGTCCAAGAATGATGGCCATGTGGATATCCCAGACGGAAATGATCAACCACATTCTGCGCCGAAACTGTTCAATCCAAAGGTTCTCCAGAACGTCTGCCGGCTTGGCATCTGGATGGCGAGAATGAAGCAGGGAATCCTTATGTAGTCCTATTTCCTGGGCGTCTCGAATGGTCTGTGATAGAGAATGCCAGCTCTCCGTGACCATTCCAACGTTTTTCAAATATGAAGTTCGAAGAAATCCGGCTTGGACGGCGACCAATGTCGTGTGGCGTTTGCCCAGTAGACTTAGGATAGCGACGCTGGATTCGCTGTAATCACTGGCAAGGTCATCGAACGACATACCTGCAGCGTATTTGAGGGAGTCAAGAGTCGGGTCGTACTCTAGCGGTTGGAACTGCAATGCCAGCGCCAGACATTGGAAGAGCAGCGCTGGGAAGAACTGCATGTCCCCAGAGAGCTCTTGAGGGCCTCTGTTCAGTGTCGCAAAGGATAGACCGTTCCATTCGGCGAGAAGGTCTCTGAAAAAGCCCTCATCCAACGGAGAATATGAGCAATTGACTTCACGAAAGTAGGTGGGGAGGAGCTTTTCGATGTATTCCTTGGATGGTAATTGCCGTATCAAACTCTTGTATTTCTCGCGCAGCCCACTCAGGTCTGGCATAGTCGTCTGGGGTCGCGAGAACTGGTCGGCAGTCTGGGCATCGCGATCTTGCAGCTTCTTGAAGATGCCCAGCGTTGTATTGTTGGTGGCATTTGATTTGTTGTACCCAAAGCCTGTAACTTGGGCGACGGAATCGGCTGCGTTGGGTTTGATGACACTGAAGGCGCCTCCATTGACGGCGGCAGTACTGACGCTGTCTTCCAGTAGTTGCTGCTTCCTCGCGGATTCATTCTCGTATTGGCACAGGTTGTCTTTATTGCGGGCGACGCAGTTGGAACAGGGAGACTCGCGATCGCACTGGGAATTGGTACTGTAAGCAACTGTCGGGGAGGAAAAGGAGGATCCGAGGAGAGTGGGGGGCAGGCAACCTTCTGTTTGCGCCGGTGACATTCAGTACATGATATAACGATCCTCTTCCTTTTCCGCGGGGGTTTTGGAGGGCTCTTAGACCGCGAGGGTTGTTCTAAGTTGGGATCCATACCTAGGTCGGTAGTGTTTGCGATTGCGATTATTGTTGTGGTGAAGGGATATAATGGAGTGTGGTGTTCCCCGAGTGGAGTCGAGTCGGCGATCGCTGGCGAGATCCGCTTAACTCCGCATATCAGTATCACATCACATCCTTCTACCTACAGTAAGCTAAGTAGGTACAATATATAGCTAGGTAGATACCAGTCTTTTGTTTTGACTTGATTCATCTAATTCATATAATATCACTCACTCTACGGGAGTACTACTTTGGACTGTTACTGTTACCGGTAGGCGGGCGAACCCGCACGTTACCTTTCCTTTGGTGGCATGCGCGTACTGTACTATGAGGGGGAGGGGCAGAAAACCAAACATCTTCTGCAATTATACTTGTATCTACTTGTACAGTAGCTGGCTTGCTAGTATGTATGCATAAGGTACCTAGCATAAGGTAGGATCTGAGAGGATCTGAGAGAGGTTACCTAGGTGTATTAACTAGGTAGTTGTGCCTTGTGTTCTTGGGTTTCTTATGGTAGACTTTGATGCCTCTAGGTCTAGGTCCAGGTCCAGGTCCAGTTCTAGGTCTAGGTCTATTGAATGTTCCTTTATGTTACTATATAAATAGGAAATCACCTATCATGGTCAAATTGACACAAAAATGAAGCTTTTCCGTCTGCCACGCATTGAACAATTCGATTAGCGTCGCTGTTTCTGTAAATATGACGTATGTGGCGACTCCTGAACGTTCCATCTTCCTCTTTTTCGTCCCTCCATAATCTTCACGCCCACAGATAGGCGCATGTATGAAGATATAACCCACCACTCATACTACGGTCCCGTACGTATCCTGTACTATCCTTCTTTGGTCCCTCGTTCAGCCGCATGCAAATACCATACACCAACTAGTGTAATGCACGCTTTTACTGTAATTGTAAGTAGATTTTCATGGCCCAGAATACCATCCCAGCTAAACCCGATACATAATATTGACTTTTTACCTCTTCCGCATAGATTACCTTCTTTACAATAATTCTTCCTTGACACCGACAACAGTGCGTCGTCGGTGTCGTGCTGTAGATACCA